TATTAATTTTAAGTGTTAGTGAATAATTAGAAATGGTTTTATTCGGATTACTGAAGCAACGGTTACATTTAGAGAGGAAGTATATTCAATCAGTAATTTTATCGATTCATTTAAATAATTATATTTAATATTTGTTGGGATGCGGAAATTGTTTCCAAAAATTTTTTTAAATAGGAATTTTGAATCCTGTAAATAAAGAGTTGATTTACTTGGCCCCCGATTGTATAAGCATTAGCTATGTTTTAAGTAAAATTCTGAGATGTGTTGATATTCTAATCTTTCTGCGTTCTTAGTAGTAATAGATTGCATGTCTCTGAACTGCTTGTTAACTTGTTAGTGTTGGTATATACTTATTCCTGCTTCTTTGATTTTCTTCCTCTTACTGTCCATTTCATCTATGACTGCTGATGCATATTTTCATTGTGCATCGACTTTGTGCTCTTTATCCCAGGCATTGTACAAGTCTCATGCTCGTTTATCCTAATACTAAGTGGTATGGTTGAATTTACAGCGAATTATTGTTGACTGTATGGTTGTTGCTGTATGGAATAGCTACATACAAGGAATGTAACAACTTTATTTGAGCTGATTATCTAAGAAATTTACTCTCTGAAACGAAAAAATTAAATATTACTATCTGGGGAGAAAGTAAATCAAAATGATCAAATGCAGAAAATTTATAGCAATCGGATACACCGTTTATTTGTCTGGAAACTAAGACCATATACATCGATACTGAATATTAATAATGAAACAGCATATTCTTCAGCATAACTTCATCGCAATGATAGACAGAGTAGTTTTATTATAGGTTTATGTCTTCTTCTGTCGGTCAGATAGCTCAGCGGGCTGTGCGGCTGCCTCTCATTCGCTTCACTGTCGAATGGTTCAGTGGATGTGGGATCGAGCCCCAGCTCGGTGTACTGAAAAACAAAAAGTCTAACGCAGCAGTTTAAAATTCTAGATGAATCTGCGGCTTAGACTAGAATATGCTGGGGTCTGATCGGCCTATGGTGGAGCAGTACGGCAAGAGATAAGGGCTTGCGGCTCGGTGATACTCCTCCATAGATCCCTACCGGACGGGCGTAACGAATAAAAAACCGGATATATATATATATATATATATATATATATATATATATATATATATATATATACCACCTTTTTCTAGGTGGAAAAATAAAACATGCAAAAATCGAATTTCCCCAACTCCGTGGGGGCTATGGACGTCTATATTCGTGCCAAATCCCCTTTTATTTCAGAAATAATATACTATAATTAAAAAGGGTACTATTTAATCGTTCTGCAAACACTTACTGATGCACAATATACATTTATTTCGATAGAAGTTGGTGCATATGGTAAAAAAAATTTATCTCAAATCCTTTATAAAAGGTATATAATAAAATGCCCAAACGGGCTATCACAAATATGTTACAAAACGTTTTCGGATTGTTAAATCCATCATCAGTGTAAACGAGGTATACATGCTATGAGCCACCAAAATATATAGGTCAAAACCTTAAATGATATTAATTTACAGTTGCTTTACATTATATGTGGTTACAAATTATGACGTTTAAGTAACCGTTGGAATTAGTAACATGGCGACGTATGACCCTACATAGGTAAAATGGTCCTGAGACGAAGTGTCTTCGAGGACCTGTTGATAACAACTTTTTTTTCATATGGTAAAAATCTAACGGTGGGATATTTTCCAAAATTACGTTTTGCCAACGTTTAAAAAATGGTACTTTTAATATGCCAGTAGACACAGAATTGCCACAAATAACAAAAAGTGTCCGTTTGTGGTTATCGGATATAAAGCTTACCCTTTGACTCCTTGGATTATGATATCCTTCCGAGGAGGTAATTGGATGACTTAAAACAAACGTTTGTCAAGAGCTAGGAGAGTAGTGGAAAGCTCATTTGGAATTTTGGCTGTTAAGTGGACGTTACTCCAAAAACCAATTTAAACAACCCCTAGATTTAGCTGACAAAATTGTCAAGTGTATGTGTGTCTTTATAACATTGTTATATAGACAAAGACGGAATTGACGAATTGATTCTCCACGAGATGAACGAACTATCATCAAATTATAGTAAAACTGAACAACAAGGTCTATCTGTCAACATACGCTCTACCAGATACGGCTGGCATTCGCACAAATATTTTTTAAATCATTCACTGTATATGTTCATTTTAATGTAACTTTTCTATTACATTTTAGTTAATAATCAAAAAAACAACCGTTCTTAATAAATGAATATTAAATATTCAAAAAATATTTGTACAAATGAATAGGTATCTACCTGTTGTATTGCATTCAGCTGCTGTTTTTTTTTTCATAGACGTTTGGCAATATTTCTATCCATATGTTTTATACCGGCACCATTGGGCTCAAGAATACATACAGCTTCCTCATCAGTTTTGGAATTGTGTGCTTTTTTAAAACGAGAATCTGTTTAAATAGTGATAGGTAGCGAATCCGTGTTTCGTGAGAGCCAACAAGAGCTACCAAATGCCCGTTCCATACTTCCTTTAGCTTGTGGCAGTGTTTTGTTATGGGCAGGTATTTTGACAGAAGGATGCACGGAATTGGTGGTTATTGACGAGGCTCTAACATTACAAAAATGCACTACATGGATTTTAGAACCTAATGTGAGATTATGAGAAATTTTTGTATTTATGGATGATAACACCAGCCCATATAGGACTCAAGCGGATGATGACAATGTTGAAGCAGAAGGTATTCGTCGTTTGGATTGGCCTGCGATGTCTCAGACATGAATCCCATTGAACGTACATGAAATGTGTTTTTCAAAGCTATTAATGCCCAAAGGAATCTTCCTAGAACTCATGAAAAATGAAAAAATCTGTTACAGGAAATGATTTATGGACTATTAGAGCTTGGAGCCATAAATTAACGATATTAAAATTGTTAAATACATTTTAATTAAAAATAAATTATCTAGTTTTAAATTTTTTATTTATTAAAAAACAGTATCTCTAAAAAACAAAATATATCTGTCAACGGTTTGAGATATTTTTTTAATAAATGATCTATAACAGTAGTCTCTGCATATAGTTAATAATAACAACAATTTTGAGTGAGGTATTACGTTAAAAGACAACATATTACTATCTTTAATGCAAAACATTACCTGAAACTTTAGGTTGGGAGAAAAAAATCAAAGAGGTGAGCCTCTCATAAATTGTACCAACAAAATGACTTTATCATTACAAACACTTCCAGAAAGACGTCTATACACGTGGAAATCCCCTCAAGATGGACAACAAGATAAAATAGTATGGAATCAAATAGATTACACCTTAATAAACTAACGATTACGAATCAATATTAAGATGTAAAAACTTGCCCCAGCACTGATATAAACTTAAATCATAATATACTCTGCTCAAAAATATATTGAATAAATTAAAGAAATTCACAAAGCAAACTAGAATATATCTTGACCTTCTTAGAAATCCTCAAACACATAAATACATACCATAGCTGATAAATAGAAGAATACATAAATATAACGAATATACCAAACGAAAACAGAGCCACCACACATTGTTGGTACCACATACAAATTTGACCTTAGAAGAAGCAAGATAAGCTTTGGAAAAACCTACAATATTGGTAAAAAATTGATGAATACTACACGAAATCCTAGATCTGATGAAAGTTGGACGGAAACATAGAAGTTATACAAATAAACGACCTCACAAGAAAAACACAGTAGGTTCAATCTTCACAAGAAAGTTAAACATACCTCTGGAATTAGAAAACTGAAAAATGCTCACGTACTTAAAAATGCAGAAGGAAGAAATTGTGATTATACAATAAAATCGAATTACCAGAATTCAAATTGTGGTGCTATCGACGGATCCTTAAAATAACGTGGGTTTGGCATAATTCCAATGAAGATGTTCTCAAAATGATGAATTCAGAACGCCTACTTATAAAAATATCATAGAGAAAAAAAAACAGACTAATTTGCCATATAATTGCAAGACCAAAATATCTCCTTCTTGGCATTGTAATACAAAAAAAGGAAAAGAGATGAATTGGTCAAAAGAAACTTTCATGGCTGCGTAATATTAGGCAATGGTGTGGTTCCAGAGTAGAAGAATTATTTGGTGCAGCAGTTAATGATATTTTTAAGAAAATTGTAAATATGATGATTGCCAACATCTGAATACATACACGGCACCTAAAGAAGAAGAAATATTGTTGTTCTCTTCAAATCCCTTTTAGTGAGCATTTCTGGATCGTATTTGTTGTTTCTTTAATTTTTTTCTTTAATTTTGTGGACTTCGTTATTTATAAATGACAATGGATAATCATAATTTTGCTTAAATCGCGCTGTTAGCAGAATTTTTTTTTTCGTGAAATGCATTTTCGTAAAAGCAGGTATTGTGGGCTATGTCATATACTAATTTGATGATTCACGAATAATGATTTGTGGATTAATAATTGGTAAAAAAACAAATATTTAAATCATCAGTCAAACCAAAACAGAAATATCGAAAAGGGAATCATTAAATCACTGTAGAATAGTGCCCAAATAAACGAAAATGCATTTCGGGAAGAGAAAAATTTTGTTTACAAATATTTTATTAAAAAATACTTATATGTTGTCAGTTATTAATATGAAATTTCGGAAAATTGACGAAATGAAACAAAAAAACTCTACAAATGATCCGGACATGCCCATAAGAAAGGATCTGTGAGGAAAACAACAACACCTATGTTGTGATCCCATGAAACAAGTTTTGAGTAAAAAATAACACTAAATTATCTTTTATTTATACCTTAATAATAATAATAGATAATGCTAGACCCTTTGTCAATACAAAAACTAATTTAAAAAGCTGATATCGAGCAACAATACTCAATGAAACGCAATTTTATTTTATTTTTGCATTTATTTTCTTATAACAATAAAATAAATAAATAGTTCTTAATTAAAAACAGATCTACATGGTTTTAGTGGTGGTAGTAAGAAGGAGCAGCATGTACTTCTGGAGCAGAAAAACTGGAGTAAGATACTTCAGGGGCACTGGAGTAAGATACTTTGTTAAATGCTAGTACCTTGGCTACTAGTGGAGATGCATATGAAGCTTTAACAACAGAATGTGGGTAAGCTACAGGCGCAACAGCTTTCAAGACAGGTTGAGCATAAGCTACTGGTGCGACGGCTTTTACAACAGGTTGGGCATAGGCTACTGGAGAAACTATTTTGGCAGCAACTGGAGCAATGGCTTTAACTGGATGAGCGGCTGGTTCACGGTGTACAACAGCGTTGAAACCACTATGGGCATCGACATTGTATTCCACTACTCTTTTAGTACCATCAGCTTCAATTAGGGAGTAACTTCCCTTAACAACGTCACCTTCGCGAGTTTCGTGTTGGCTTTTCACATCTCCGGTATGGGGATCATTTACACCATAACTAAAATCATAGTGGGCTCGAGATGAGTAATCTTCAGCTACAACTTGTTTAGCTACTTTGTATACTGGAGCAGCTACTTTCAAAGCTGGAGCGGCGTACGCTAGTGGAGAAGAATAAGTCACTGGAGTGGCTACATTGATTGCTGGTCCAGCGGCATAGTGAACTGGAGCAGCAACTTTAGAATAACTTGGTCCACCATATGATACTTCAGGAGTTGAAACACTTGAATAAGAAACTGAAGGAGCATCTGAGTAAGAATGGTGAGGGCTCAGAATTCCAGCTTGGGTGGAAGCTACAAGAGCCAAGAAACTAATGAACTGAAAAATAATCATTTTGTTAATTTATATAAAAGTTAAAAAAAACTATATTTTAGATATAATTATAAATAAAATAAAAAAATTAATAAATATACAACAAAATTTATTAAATAAATTTATTTATTTATATTTATATATACATATATATATATATATATATATATATATATATATATATATATATATATATACATAACAGATATAGCAATTTTCACATTCCATCCTGTAACGGTTCGAAAATTCTGGAGGTCTTAGTTTTCTGTAGATTTTCTGCGATTTGCAAATATATTTGTTCGAAGGAATAATTTTTTTAAACATCTCGAAGTCTCCTTATTAGATCACTTTAGTTGTTAGGCATTAGAATAATGAAAGCTTAAGAGTGTTCTTTTGGTCCAAGTTGTCATGTATAAATCGTTTATATGTAATATCTAATTTCTCTGTAATATCTTCAACCGCTGTAAGAATTGCGTTTTAATGTCAAACGCGGAAACAAACTGAGAATTGTTTATAATATAATATAAGTTCTTAAGATCATCTTTAGTCGCTACATACACTAATGGTTGGAATATGTTACACAACAGGAATTTGACATAATTCTTTTTACAGTAATTCATCGTCATCTACACTTATACCACACTTTTGTGTAAAGTGCTACATACAGTATGTCTTTACCTCAATTCACATCAGGTTAGTGTTTTATTTTGTTTTTTTTTTGTAACAATTTTTGGTGTAAAACAATGTGTTTTTATCTCTGTTTGCTTATAAACCTATTTGACTTTGTCTATTTTTACTAATAATCCTTCTGATGGAATTCTGGATATGCGAATGTTTCGAACTTATATAATTGGAATTTTGACTTATTTTACAAAGTCAAAATTTGTTTTACAAATTTTTGGATTTATGAATTTTTGGAATAAGCGAAAGCATAAACTTATGAATATGCATATACGTCACGTCACCTCTTGTTAAAATTTTGGATGCAGAGACAGCAGGAGCATTCATGTTCTTTCTAATCGAGCCAATAATGTACCATCCAGATAATTACCTCATTTTTTTGTTAAAGTGTACAAAATTCAAAATGTGTGTAAAAATTAAAATATTTTATGAGAAAATATGTAAAGATTACTTTTTAAGATGCTAGCTCCTACAGAAGAATTTAATTAAATTAACTTAACTTACTACATTATATCTCTTCTTTATATATTCTTTATAACTTTAGACCAGCATCAAAAAGAAAGCTATACAAGAAATAATAGAGAAAGAACAATATTAAAGAGAAAAACCTAAATACATCTGGCAGTAGTAGAAGCCATTGGAATGTGAAAGAGACCATATTGCTAGATAACGAAGACAGAAAACAAACAAAAAAGTCAAAAGAAAGCTTATTAAAAGCAGCTAACTACAGGAAATCAAAATACACCAAAATAGAAGAGAATGTAAAAAGCAAACTGGTACAAACAAACATTTTGTTTGATTGAAAACAAAAAAAAAATGAAATAGAGAGATACAAAAAAACAATTTTGGCAAAAAAGTGTAAAGAAATATAGATAGCTTAATGGGAAGCTATTTATATTTTTACATCTATATATCTTTACTTTTTAAAAGCAAGGAAGGAGTTGAAAATGTTGACGAATTTTAGACCGAATACCCAGGAAATGGTAAAGAAATAACCAATACAAATGGAAGAATGGGTAAAATATTACCTAAAGATATTACAAGAAAAAGATATCTATATACTCCCCAACTTACAATATAAGAGACAGACAGACAAACACAGGTTGCAGATATAATCTGAAAACAAAACAAAAAATGCGCTCAAAATGATGAAAAATAACAGAACATCTGGTCCTGGAGCATACCTGTCTTATTTGGAAGCTAGAAAGAAGCGAAGGAATGAAAATGGGCTACTTAAGCTTTATACATAAGAAGTGAAATGAAAAAAGACTCCAATAATTATATGGCATTATGCGTCATACTTTCTGTCATATTTGAACATGAATCTTTGAAATATTTAAATCTAGATTTTTCGTTTTTTTTTTAATTTTTCCTCCAAATAACCTTAAGCATATCGAGATAATACAACTTTTGAAGTTAAGGGTCAGATGAGGTGGTATACTAGTTTTCGGCAAAATAAATGGAATCCGAATCCCTAAAAAATTAGAAGCTTCCGCTACATTTTCCCCCACAGTAACTAATAACTAACTAATATACCATTTTGGATATCAACATTAGCATAACAATGAAAAGAATGACAGAAAAACAGTACAAATGTTAAATAATCAAGCAAATATGAATAAACAAAATACTCTCTATCGCAATAATGGGACAAAATAAAAGATATCACTCGTAGGTACGCAAGAACTCATACTCGCAAGAAATGCTAAATGCACAAAGCAATAGTTAACTGAATTGCATGACGTGACTAAATTCTTATAAAGGATAATCCAATAGACTTAACTTTAGCATACAATTCTCGCAATGTAACGACTTGAACATTTCAAATTGACTCAGTGCAATTTGGTTGCTTACCTTAAATGCCATTATTTGGATCACTCGAAACCTATATTGATCTACTGAATAATTCAATATGATTATATATCATTTATATATAATGAAAATAGCTACTAAAGGCGTGGTGATTATATCATCGAATACTTATATTCCTAAAATTACTTTCATTGACAATGTAACACCAATTTCTTAATGTAATAATGTGATCTAACCCTGAACTAGAAAAATTTTTGTATAATTAATACAGTTCAAATGATAATAATTTTATAAAATATTTCGTTACGAAGATTTACAAACTACTTTGATTTAGTTTTATTTGCCAAATATAATTTAAAAAGTAAAAAAATGTTTTGTGGATATCTGGCATGAGTCCTGTATAAGTATAAATAAAATAAATATAAACATTACTTATTTTGATATAAGGTTAAATGCTCGAATAAATAAACTTTGGTTTTTAAAATGACCACCATCTTGTTGAAGGCAAAATCTTGCTCTTTTTGTAATACCTCTTACTGACTTCCTCATCTCGTCTGGGTTATTTTTTATCTTTTGAAAGGCGCCTTGAACCCGTCCAAGAAGTTCTTTCCCACTACGTATTTTATCGTTATAAACTTGGACTTAAATATCTTAAAACTTAATAATTGATTAGTTTAAGATCACGTGATCGTGATGGCTGAACATAAAAATTGTACTACAAATCTAAAAATTGTCGATAAAAAATCTCGCCTGTAACGTTTTATCACATGTGCACGATCATTTTGAAAGTATATTTCATGTGTATTGATACTTTCATCATCTAGCAGTACAGTTAAAATAGTTTCTAAAAAATCTAAATACACTTCACCAGTTGGGATAAGAGGTAAAATTTAGCTTCGTACAATAATAAACGTCTGTTTACAATCCTTGAATTTTGGATGATCGACCCAAAAAAATTAATGCTGAGTATTTCATCGTGATTCATTAAATCTGAAGCCCAATTATGAACCACAACACATCTACTAAGATTTTAATGACTGTGATGATGAAGATTTCATCGTCAGGTATCAATCTTTGTACTTCTTGTATATGGTAAGGATGAAGATTATTATTTTTAAGCCTACTCCACATAGTGGTATGTAGAATTTGCAGAGCATGACTAATTTGTCGAGTACATATTTTTGGATCATTCCTAATTAAATTCAGAATAAAAGAAAATACATTTAAGATTTAAGTTCACGTATAATGTATTCGCTTATACGTATCTCATTCTAACAGGAATCATCAGAGCGACTAGTACAGAAGCTCTAAATGTGAAAACACTAATACAATGACTTCAATATGGACGCTTTAGCGACATCTGATAATAAATCCCGAAAGTAGAAGTGCGAAGATTTCTATTGACGAAACCAAAGTTTTGATTTTTGCTTTAACATGTGCCTTCTATAAATTGCAAGGCAAAACAGACGATGATATAGATGTAAAAGAGAGATATAGAGAATCTTAAAGTTGCATTCCACATTATATCTCCTTATATATATAGTCCCAAGATTCCTAAGAGGAACATAGGGCTTCCACAAAGTGTCTCCAGCGAACTCTATTTCTGGCTAGTGCTTTGATTTCAAGCCAGGATTTTCCCATTGTTCTCCCTTCGTCCAGTACTGTCCTTCTCCAAGTTCCCTTAGGTCTGCCTACTTTCCGTCGGCCTTGGGATTCCAATCCAGCGCTGTCCTGGCAATGTCATTTGGCGGTCTACGGAGTGTGTGGCCCAGCCATCTCCATTTTCTTCGCCTTATTTGCTTTATGACATTTTCTTGGTTGCTTTGGTTCCATAAATTTTCATTGGAGATTCGGTTAGGCCAAAATATACGAAGGATTTTTCGTAACGCTCTATTGATGAAAACTTGTAGTTGGTGTACTATGGGTGCTGATATCTTCCACGTTTTGCAGCCATACAGTAATACAGCTTTTACATTTGTGTTGAAGATTTTTAGTTTCGTTTTAGTTGGGTAAATCCTGGATTTCCATATGTTGTTAAGCATGTTGTAGGCGTTGCGAGCCTTATTTATTCTTTCATGTACATCACGCTCTGTACCCCCATTACAGTCAATTATGCTGCCCAGATAAACAAATTCCATTACTCTCTCAATTTTCTGGTCGTTGATCATAATAGGTTGGTTGTTTCTGGTACTAAATCGCATTTCTTTGGTTTTGTTGGTGTTTATTTCTAGACCAACCTTCTTTGATTCTTCTTGTACTTTGTTTACTTGGAGTTGCATGTCCTGTTTTGTATGTGCTAGGAGGCATATATCATCAGCGTAATCTAGGTCTTCCAGTCTGTTTGTTAATCCCCAGTAAATTCCTCTATTAGAGTTTACCTTTCTTAGTACGGAGTCCAGTACAATGTTAAATAGTATAGGGGATAAAACACAGCCCTGCTTTACTCCGTTTAGCATAGCTATTGGGTCAGATGTTATGCCGTTGTGTAGGATTTTGCTTTCTGTGTCACTGTAGAGTTCTTTGATGAGATTTACTATTTTTTCTGGTATTCCTATTTCCTGCAGTGCTTTCCATATGGCCGTATGTGTTAGCGTGTCAAAAGCTCTCTTTAAGTCCACAAAGCACACAAAGAGAGGAGAGTTGAATTCCTGTGACTGTTCTACAATTATTCTTAGTGTGTTAATTTGGTCCACGCATGATCTGTTTGATCTAAAACCGGCTGGTTCCTTCCTCAACATTGGTTCTACACTGTTTGTTAGTCGGTTGTTTATAATTATTGCTGTTAATTTATTTATAGTAATCAGAAGTGTGATTCCTCTCCAGTTTTCGCAATATCTTCTGTCACCCTTTTTTGGTATCTTTATTATTAATCCCGTTTTCCATTCTTTGGGGAACTTTTCCTCTCTCCAAGCCCTTTTCAAGAGTGTTTGGATTAGCTCTGCCACTGTACCTGGGCAAGCTTTTAACAACTCTGGTGGAATATTGTCAGGGCCAGCTGCTTTGTGTGCTTTCAGTTTTTCTATGGCCATTTCTATTTCTTGCGTTGTTGGTTCGTTGGTGTTAATTCTCAGTTGGATATTGGGTATTAGGTTTTCTGCGTCTTCTGGTGGTGTTGGGACTGCACTTAGAGATTCGCTAAAATATTCATGCCATCTTTTGACTTGTTCCTGTGGCGTTGTAATATCTTCACCTGTAGCACTTTTTACAGTTGGTTGGTGGGTAGTATATCTTTTATTGGCTAGTTGTTTAGTGATATTATATAATTGTCTCATGTTTTGATGTTCATCGGCGACTCGCGCTTCTTCGGCAAGATTTTCTGCCCACTTTCTTTTGTCTTTCTTTGCTGCCTTCTTGACAGCTTTATTCGCTTCTCTATAACTTTCTCTAAGTCGGTTCTTCTCTGTTGCTGTCTTGGAATTTAGTAATTCTAGATTAATGTGTTTGCGACGTTCTATTTTGTTCCACGTTTCTCTCGTAATCCACTCTTTCTTTACGTCTTTCTTTCTCCTTATCTAAGCAAAAATTCTTGGCGAATTGGTTTCTTGTACTCATAAATAGTATACCGAAATAAAAAAAAGGACAGTTAAGATTTGATTTCATGTATAGTGCCTTTGTATTTTACGTATTTTATCCTAGCAGGAATTATCAGAGTGACTGGTACAGAAGCTCTAAATGTGAATACAAATCTTTTACACAAAAACAGCAACAATAAAATGGCTTCAATATGGACGCTATAGCGACTAGCTAACTTCAGAATCTTATTTTCGATAATAAAGTTTTGTCTATTCTGGATTATTCATATAGCATTCCAAAAGTTCTATAACGTGATATCCTTTATTGAGAAAACCGCGTTCCATACTCTCTTTTAGCAGCTGTGACTTTACTTGCGAAAGTATTGTTCCATAACGGCAAGGTCATCCGTTAGTATTGTTTCTATAATATGCATGTTAATATGTCTTGCTGCAACGACCCAGTTGTCAGCGTAGCCAAATTTCTGCGAAGCTGTACGCGGTAGGTCCGCGATGTATAAATTAAACAGTAAGAGTGCTTAAACGGATCCCTGTGGCAGTCCATTGCTGAGCTTCATTTGGACAATTTTAAAGTTGCCCATTGTGACCTGAAAAGGTTTGCCGTTGAGCATGCTATCAATGAGTTTGGTTGCCCTTGACACGGGATGGTACGGATTAGTTTGAAGATTAGTCCTTGGCTCCAGAGAGTGTATGCTGCTGATAGGTTAATCAAAGCAACGGATGCTTTTTGCTGTCTTTAAAAACCTGCTGTAATATGTGTTGTTGGGAATAGGATCTGATCTGTGCAGCTGCGGTTAGGTGTGAATCCTGCTTGCTCAATATGTATCCATTCAAATATGTTTGAGTTTACATTAAATTAGCGTTTAAACAGTTTATAGACACAGCTCAGCAGTGCAATTGGTCAGTAGTTTTGGGGCTGGTCGTTTGCCCTTCCTGGTTTTAATATGGCTATAATGGAGGCCTTTTTGATGAATGGGGGATTTCTCCTGATTTTATCATATCTGTACAGAAATCAGCCAGCCATTTCCTAGCATATTTGCCACAGTGGAGTTAAAATTCTGGATGAATTTTATTAGAACCGGTTGCCTTTCCAGACATAACTTCTGATTTTTTTTCCTAAATTGGATAATATGGATATTAACCTGGTTTATACAGTACGGCGCTAAGTGCTTGAAAGAACAAGGATTTGGGATTAGATCGGAAAGTACTTATATATAAATCATAATTGAGATTAACAATGACATATGCTTGAGAAATGAGAACGGTACAACAGAAACAAAAAGAATACTTGAAACTATGAATTGTCAGAAATTAGAGCCTTGAGATCAGTTGCGGGGAAAACATACCAAGAGATAGATTACTAAATAACGAAATAAGAGATCTCTGATCTCTGTAAAATAAACCTACTGTACGATGGGAAAGACAGAGAAGACTAATATAAAGACTTCGGCAAATATGCAAATAAAAATGTAGAAAATGTGCGCATAAATATGCACGTGTTTACCCGAAAATTTGCAAATATTT